AATAAATAAGCTAGAAATGATTTTTTAAAGTTTTCAATTTTTTGACATTTCCAACAACTAATTCCATATTTCCTTTAACAACTTTTTTCTGAAAATTTTTATGATATAACCCCAATATCTAAATATCATATTATGAAATAGATCTTTTTAGCTTAAATTTGAGATATAAATCGTCTCGCTACTTCAATAAATAAGCTAGAAATGACTTTTTAAAGTTTTCAACTTTGACATTTTCAACAAACAGTTTCATATTTCCTTTAAGACCATTTTTCTGAAAATTTTTATAATTAAACCCTTCTATCTTAATATTATATCACAAAATAGATCCATTTAGCTTCATTATGAGATATGCATCGTCTCATTACCTTAATAAATAAGATAGAAATGACTTTTTAAAATTTACAATTTTTTGACATATCCAACATCCAATTTCATTTAAGAATTTTTTTCTGTAAATTTTTATTATAATACCCCTATATCTCAATATAATACCACAAAATAGATCCTTTTAGCTTCAATTTGAGATATAAATCATTTCATTACCTCAATAAATAAGCTAAAAATGACTTTTTAAAGTTTTCAACTTTTTGGCATTTCCAACAACTAATTCCATATTTCCTTTATGCACTTTTTTCTGAAAATTTTTATGATATAACCCCAATATCTAAATATCATATTATGAAATAGATCTTTTTAGCTTAAATTTGAGATATAAATCGTCTCGCTACTTCAATAAATAAGCTAGAAATAATTTTTTAAAGTTTTCAACTTTTTGACATTTTCAACAAACAGTTTCATATTTCCTTTAAGACCTTTTTTCTGGAAATTTTTATAATAAAACTCGTCTATCTTAATATTATATCACAAAATAGATCCATTTAGCCTCATTATGAGATATGAATCGTCTCATTACCTTAATAAGTAAGATAGAAATGACTTTTTAAAATTTACAATATTTTAACATATCCAATTTCATTTAAGAATTTTTTTCTGGAAATTTTTATCATGAAGCCCCTATATCTCAATATTATATCACAAAATAGGTCCTTTTAGCTTCAATTTGAGATATGAATCATCTCGTTACCTCAATAAATAAGCTAGAAATGACTTTTTAAAGTTTTCAATTTTTTGACATTTCCAACAACTAATTCCATATTTCCTTTAAGAACTTTTTTCTGAAAATTTTTATGATATAACCCCAATATCTAAATATCATATTATGAAATAGATCTTTTTAGCTTAAATTTGAGATATAAATCGTCTCGCTACTTCAATAAATAAGCTAGAAATGACTTTTTAAAGTTTTCAACTTTGACATTTTCAACAAACAATTTCATATTTCCTTTAAGACCATTTTTCTGGAAATTTTTATAATAAAACCCTTCTATCTTAATATTATATCATAAAATAGATCCATTTAGCTTCATTATGAGATATGAATCGTCTCATTACCTTAATAAATAAGCTAGAAATGACTTTATAAAATTACAATTTTTTGACATATCCAACATCCAATTTCATTTAATAATTTTTTTCTGGAAATTTTTATCATAAAACTCCTATATCTCTATATCATATCACAAAATAGGACCTTTTAGCTTCAATTTGAGATATAAATCGTCTCGTTACCTTAATAAAGAAGCTAAAAATGACTTTTTAAAGTTTTCAACTTTTTGACATTTCCAACAACTAATTCCATATTTCCTTTAAGAACTTTTTTCTGAAAATTTTTATGATATAACCCCAATATCTAAATATCATATTATGAAATAGATCTTTTTAGCTTAAATTTGAGATATAAATCGTCTCGCTACTTCAATAAATAAGCTAGAAATAATTTTTTAAAGTTTTCAAGTTTTTGACATTTTCAACAAACAGTTTCATATTTCCTTTAAGACCTTTTTTCTGGAAATTTTTATAATAAAACTCGTCTATCTTAATATTATATCACAAAATAGATCCATTTAGCCTCATTATGAGATATGAATCGTCTCATTACCTTAATAAGTAAGATAGAAATGACTTTTTAAAATTTACAATATTTTAACATATCCAATTTCATTTAAGAATTTTTTTCTGGAAATTTTTATCATGAAGCCCCTATATCTCAATATTATATCACAAAATAGGTCCTTTTAGCTTCAATTTGAGATATGAATCATCTCGTTACCTCAATAAATAAGCTAGAAATGACTTTTTATAGTTTTCAATTTTTTGACATTTCCAACAACTAATTCCATATTTCCTTTAAGAACTTTTTTCTGAAAATTTTTATGATATAACCCCAATATCCAAATATCATACTATAAAATAGATACTTTTAGCTTGCATTTGAGATATAAATCGTCTCATTACCTCAATAAATAAGCTAGAAATAGCTTTTTAAAGTTTTCAACTTTTTGACATTTTCAACAAACAGTTTCATATTTCCTTTAAGACCATTTTTCTGGAAATTTTTATAATAAAACCCTTCTATCTTAATATTATATCACAAAATAGATCTATTTAGCTTCATTATGAGATATGAATCGTCTCATTACCTTAATAAATAAGATAGAAATGACTTTTTAAAATTTACAATTTTTTGACATATCCAACATCCAATTTCATTTAATAATTTTTTTCTGGAAATTTTTATCATAAAACCCCTATGTCTCTATATCATATCACAAAATAGATCTTTTTAGCTTCAATTTGAGATATAAATCGTCTCGGTACCTCAATAAATAAGTTAAAAATGACTTTAAAGTTTCCAATTTTTTTGACATTTCCAATAACTAATTCCATATTTCCTGTAAGTACTTTTTTCTAAAAAATTTTATGATATAACCCCAATATCTAAATATCATAAAATAAAATAGATTCGTTTAGCTTCAATTTGAGATATAAATCGTCTCTTTACCTCAATAAATAAGCTAGTAATGATTTTTTAAAGTTTTCAATTTTTTGATATTTCCAACAACCGACTAATTTAACTCTAACCAGTTTCGGCCCTTGGCCATCTTCAGAGACTCTACAAATACATTAACATCTCTTATCTTATCCATTTTACAAACAAGTTTCTTAATATTTCTATCAGATTATTAGTTACTAATTTACAAAATTAAAGTTTAAAAAGTTGTAAAACGAAATTAATCTCGAAGTGTTACAAGTTTACAGGTTAAAATTGTAGCTTAAAAATCGACTATTTATTTTAATCAATGTGAAATGACTCAAAAAACGTTAAAAATAAAAAGAAAGTGCGGAAAAGTGACTCACACTAGATTAATTTCAGTTATAAAACTTCTATTATATAATAATTAACTTCAGGTTTAAAATGTCAACCTCAATTTTGACATATTTGTAATCTTCATTAAAAATCCTTTAAAATGAGTCCAAACATGATACGTTTAATTCCAATATTACTCGAGATATAAGCAACTTCCGGTTTAAAATGTCAATGTCATTTTGACATATTCTTAATTTTTATAAAATGTCTTAATATTTGTCACAAAAACAAAAAATATAATAATAAAAAAAAAATAAAAATTAAGGTTGGTATTAATATTTAAAAATTAAATTGCTAACTTCGGGTTTATTGGTTTTTATTCTAACTTTTTTGTTTTTCGAGATAAGTGCGTCATGTTTGGACTCATTTTAAAGGTTTTTTAATGAAGATGACAAATATGTCAAATTTGACGTTGACGTTTCAAACCGGAAGTGATTGTATTTCCGTTAATATTTAAGTTAAATATGTCGAGTTTGGACTCATTTTAAAGGATTTTTTATGAAGTTGATAAATATGTCAAAATTAAAACTTGAGAGTCGAAATTTTTGGTTTTTTGAGATAAATGCGTCAAGTTTGGACTCACTTTAAAGGTTATTTTATGAAGATTACGAATATAATAATAAAATTATAGTTGAAATTGAAAGTTTTTGACATTTCCAACAAGCAATTTTATATTTTCTTTAAGAATTTATTTCTAGAAATTTTTATCATAAAACCCCAATATCTTAATATCACATTTCTAAATAAACCCCTTTAGCTTCAATTTGAGATATGAATCGTCTCTTTACCTCAATAATAAACGTTCTTATAAAGTTATAAAAATGTGTTAGTTGTGGTTTAAACCGGCGCATCCACCAAAATTCTTGAATGGAAATTTTATGCATCTTAAGAGGGTTAGAATATAAAAAGTGATTGTCAATCACTCATAATGACAGGGCAATTTGGCTTTGTTGTGGGGGGTGGCCTTTATTTGTATGGTTCAGTGTTCTTCAGCTCAAAGCGATAGATTGTTAGCCTAGGGGTCGATACTGATAGATGTCGGTTGTATCGGTCCTGAAGCTTCACCATAGGAAAGCATCCCATTGCCAGATAACTGAAATTTATCGCCTGCACTTTGCGGGGAAGGCTGTATAAACAACGCCAGATAGCAATTGATTTTGGGTCGGTAGCCAAAATGCAAGAGAAACGATAAGACCGTGTAGAGGTATCTACCCTGAAACTCAATTAAAGTGGGTAAAATGATACTAAGGCTTTTAGCGGTGGAATGGAACAGTCTCTTAATGGAAACGCACTTAAAACGAACGTCATCAATGTAATATAGTTGAATATAGTTGGATTTTAAGAAAATTAAAATTGTTATTTGTAGAAGAGAACGTTCAAACAAATTAACGATTCAATGAATTGAAAATAAATTTTCGGGCGATTTCACACGACTAATTAAATTTGCCCATCCGAAATAATTAATTTAATTTTCGCGGACGCGCTTCTAAAGGCCTCCAGGAATTAAAATTAGCGGTTGTTTCAGTTGCAATTTCAGCGCATAAACAATAACACGCGCCGACGCCGAAGCCAATTTTCAAACACGCTATAAATCTCTCGTCAATCGAAACACGTTTCCCGTTGAAACGACGGGTTTTTACACTCTACCGAATTTTTTAATATCCCTAAAATGGGACAAACAAATCAAACGGAAATATCCAATTCTTCAAAATCGACTTAAAATCTTTTTTTATTTCAGGAAAATTCCACCTTAGTAATTCCATGGATTATTGGGTTTATTACGTTTATGGCTTTAGAAGCTGTTGCGATGGTGTATTCTAACGTACTTAGAGATCATGTAAATAAGGTGAGTTAAAGATTAATTAAGACTGTTATTTTTTACTTTTATATTTTTAGCAATTCGATGCTTTATGTAAAGCTGAGGTAGCATTTTTCATCTGTAGGGCAGTAGTTAATGTAAGTATGATTTCGAATTTCCTTGAATTTTAATCTCAAATAAAACCGGGAGAATGGCACGTTTCACGACACCGATTTTCGTAATCAATCAAAATGTTATACGGACGTTTGCTCAGATTAAAAGTTTTCCCCATTTTCGCATCGGGATCATTTATTTTCCTCCAACTTATAACATCGTCGTTCCGAACGGAAATAAGTTTTTTCTACGACCTTTTCTTTCCTAAAATATTGGACAAAAAAAAATTGGATCCTCTACATTTTTCATACATCATTTTTCTCTTACATTTCATTTACATTGGAAACTATAAAATCCTCTAAATGTTAATATCACATTCTCAAATAAACCTTTTTAGCTTCAATTTGAGATTTAGTTTGTCCCTTTATTTTTAATTTTTGTCATATTTCATATTTCCTTTAAGAATTTTTTTCTGGAAATTTTTATAATAAAACCCCTATATCTCGACATTATATCACAAAATAGATACCTTTAGCTTCAATTTGAGATATATAACGTATCTTTATTTCAATAAATAAGCTAGGGATGATTATTTAAAATTTTCAATACTTTAACATTTCCTACCATCATTTTATGTTTTCTTAAACAATTTTTATCTGGAAATTTTATTATGAAACCCCTATATCTCAACATTGTGTCACAAAATAGATCCTTTTAGCTTCAATTTGAGATATATTGCGTTTCTTTATCTCAATAAATAAGCAAGGGATGATTATTTAAAATTTTCAATACTTTAACATTTCCTACCATCATTTAATGTTTTATTAAACAACTTTTATCTGGAAATTTTTATTATACAACTCCTATATCTCAACATTATATTACAAAATAGATCATTTTACCTTCAATTTGAGATATAAATCATTTCGTTATCTCAATAAATAAGCTAAGAGTGATTATTTAAAATTTTCAATATTTTGGCATTTCCAACCATCAATTTTATGTTTTCTTAAACAACCTTTATCTGGACATTTTTATTATAAAACCCCTATATCTCAACATTGTATTACAAAATAGACCCCTTTAGCTAAAATATGAGATATAAATCATTTCTTTATCTCAATAACTAAGACAGGAGTGATTATTTATAATTTTCAATATTTCGACATTTCCAACCATCAATTTTATGTTTTCTTTAAGATGTTTTTTTCAGGAAATTTTTATCATAAAACCCCTATATCTCAACATTATATCACAAAATAGATCTTTTTAGCTTCAATTTGAGATATATAATGTTTCTTTATCTCAATAATTAAGCTAGGGGTGACTATTTCATTCAAACTGTTAACAGCCAATAAGAATTCGCGGTTTTCCGTCAATAGGGCCGTTAAGTATTTTTTTTTTATTGGCTTATTCGAAAGTTTTTTAAAATTGATTGACCCTATATTTTTTAATTTTTGATTCTGAGGCTTAGTTTTTCAAAAAAAAAAATAATAAAGTTTGAAACTACCGGGCGCGAACTCCAAAATACGTCACTCAGATTTGAGCATACGATTGGAGCGTATAAAAATCAATAAAACGTCATCTGGAGTCGGGGGTGGGGAATTTTAAACTTTTACATTAATTATTGCAAAAATTAAACAATTTTCGAACGTGAAAACGTTACTAATCAATCTAATTTAATTTAGATTATCGATTTTTTGAAAGACGGTCTTTCTAATCGATTGACCTTAACGGCCCTATTGCGAGTATTTCAGTTATTTGGCTGTAATCATGGAGAACGATAATACGAACCTTTGTACTTGTTTTTATTTAATTAATTTCGTGACATCCATGAATGTTTCCATAACAATATGTACAAATATGTATATTTTTTATTCATGAAATAGTCTAGCCATATACAACACGACAATCGAAAATACTCGAATCTAGACGTATTGCCTTAAAAAATAGCACTCGACCATCGGTCTCGTGGTGTTTCAAGCAATATGTCTCGTATTATCGAGTATTTTCGATCGTCTTGTTGTATAATATACAGGGTGAGTCAGAAAGAATGGGAAATCCGAATACCGGAGACACTAGACACTAAAATATGACGATTTAACCTAACATGTCGGTGGTTTTTAATACACAGGGTGTTGAAAGTTAAATTTTTATTTCGAAATTTTTTGATAATTAAGGTTTTTGTACTATTAACATAAAATTTGGTAGCTAGATGTTTTCGAACATGAGAAATACGAATTTGATATTTGTTTTGTGATTACTTGTAGAGGACGCTAGATGCACACTGTACGTTTGACATATCAAGTCATGACTATTTTGTCAGTTGAGGTATGGTGAATTAGAACCAGAAATCTGAAGGAGTTTTCAATTCTGCACAAAAAAGGTACTCTTGCTTACATTGTCTAAGTCTACTGGTTTCCAAGTTATCTGCTTTTAATTGTTTCAAAGTAATTTTAAGGTTAACATTTAAAATCAATAACACAATTAACAGGCAATTGCCGAAACATAAGCGGAAAAATAACCCAACTTTGCTTATGTTAAAAATAAATATTTTAGAAGAAAAAATACATTTAAACATTTAAAAGTAAATAATCCGAAAACCGATAGACTTAGACAATTTCAATAAGAGTACCTTTTTTATGTAAAATTGAATGCTCTTTGTGATTTGCAGCTCTTATTGGTCGTAGCTGTCGAGCCAAAAAACTTATGATTTGATTTATCAAACGAGCAGCGTGTATCTAGCGCCCTCTACGAGCAATAACAAAACAAGTTTCAAATTCGTATTTCTCATGCTCGAAAACATAAAACTACCAAATTTTATGTTAATAGTACAAAAACCTTCAAAATTATCAAGAAATTTCGAAATAAGAATTTAACTTTCAACACCCTATGCCTCGAAAACCACTGACATTTGTATAAGAGATGTTACGTTAAATCATCATATTTTGGTGTCTAGTATCTCCGGTATTCGGATTTCCCATTCTTTCTGACTCACCCTGTATAATTATTTAAAATTTTCAATATTTTGGCATTTCCAACCATCAATTTTATATTTTCTTTAAAATGTTTTTTCAGGAAATTTTTATTATAAAACCGTTATATCTCAACATTATATCACAAAATAGATCTCTTTAGCTTCAATTTGAGATATATAACGTATCTTTATTTCAATAAATAACTTAGGGGTGATTATTTAAAATTTTCAATACTTTGACATTTCCAACCATCAATTGTATGTGTTCTTAAACAATTTTTATCTGGAAATTTTTGTTATAAAACCCCTATATCTCAACATTGTGTCACAAAATAGACCCTTTTAGCTTCAATTTAAGATATATTACGTTTCTTTATCTCAATAAATAAACCTGGAGTGATTATTTAAAATTTTCAATATTTTGACATTTCCAACCATCAATTTTATGTTTTCTTTAAGATGTTTTTTCAGGAAATTTTTATCATAAAACCCCTATATCTCAACATTATATCACAAAATAGGTCGTTTTAGCTTCAATTTGAGATATATTACGTTTCTTTATCTCAATAAATAAACCTGGAGTGATTATTTAAAATTTTCAATATTTTGACATTTCCAACCATCAATTTTATGTTTTCTTTAAGATGTTTTTTCAGGAAATTTTTATCATAAAACCCCTATATCTCAACATTGTATCACAAAATAGATCCTTTTAGCTTCAATTTGAGATATATAATGTTTCTTTATCTCAATAAATAAGGTAGGGGTGATTATTAAAAATTTTCAATATTTTGACATTTCCAACCATCAATTTTATGTTTTCTTTAACATCGTTTTTCTGGAAGTTTTTATGATATAACCCCTATATCTCAACATAATATCACAAAATAGATCCCTTTAGCTTCAATTTGCGATATAAATCGTTTCATTATCTCAATAAATAAGATAATAGGGATTTTTTTAAATTTTCAATATTTTGACATTTCCAACCATCAATTTTACGCTTTCTTTAGGATTTTTTTTCTGGAAATTTTTATTATAAAACTGCTATATCTCAACATTATATTACAAAATAGATCCTTTTAGCTTCAATTTGAGATATAAATCGTTTCGTTATCTCAATAAATAAGCTAAGAGTCATTCTTTAAAATGTTCAATATTTTAGCATTGCCAACCATAAATTTTTGTTTTCTTTAACAACTTTTTTCTTAAAATTTTTATCATAGAGCCCCCATATCTCAACATTATATCACAAAATAGATCCTTCTAGCTACAATTTGAGATATAAATCATTTCTTTATCTCAATAAATGAGCTAGGAGTTCCACACTGAGAAAAATGATATGGAAAATTGAACTAAATCAATTTAGTTGTTAGACAAATAGTTATTTATGCTAGAAAATTTATTCGAAAATTCTTAGAAAATTCTAATTAGTTAAATTTATGATAGTTAATTTATTTATTTACTGAGGTGATACAACTAATTTTTAGAAAAAGAAACTACATCGTGGAAACTAGTTGTTGAATAGTTTAGTTAACTAAAGTAACTTTAAATTATTAAATACTTTATTTAAATGTATTTTAGTCGTTTTGTCTACACGTTTTCATCGTTACATCGATCGTTTATAGAAAATATTTCTTAATACAAAAATTTAGGTACTAGTCTATATTTAAGTAATAAAGCTATTTACTACCATTAATAATAAAAATAATATTAATAGTAAAAACATCTATTAATATTATATATTATAATGAAACTAATTTGATTAGGTATTTATAAGATAGAATCGAAATAGAATTAGTTTTTATAACTAGTAGTAGTAGTTAGCTAATTTTTGACTGAAAATTCTAGATAATATGACTAAATGTTAAGTAGTTTTCCCACATTATTTTTCTCAGTGTAACCATCAATTTTATGCCTTTTTTAAGAGTTATTTTCTGGAAATTTTTATCATAAAACCTCTATTAGAGACTCTTTTAGTTTCAATTTGTGGTATAAATCGCCTCTTTACTAAACTTTTTTCATTTCACGTTCCATTTATGTACATTGGAAACTGTTAAAATTATACAAAATATACCCTGAGGATCGTGTTAAATTCCGAATTCAGTTAGTTTCTCCTTGAGAAGATTTACACAGTAAGAGAACTTCTCACCTGTGCGAACTGTAAATTTTGTAGCGGCACGGAGCGACATTACCAAGATTTTATTGCGTTTGGGTCTCTAATGGGCCGTTCACACTCTTGGGTTACAAAAGTTTTCATCAGGTTAAGTTTGTGAACTCGGTATGTTATTAAATCGTTAATTCGTCTTTCACAGTGATGAAACTTTTTGAGAAGTAATTTCATTACAATTATTAACCAGATTTTCAGTTCACCCTTAGGGACCTAAATTCTTTTCCCACAAAAATATCCTTTTCGAGGCGTCTCCGAATTTATGAGTCTCCAGTTCGTAGTAAAACATTATTTCTTTTTGACGCGACTTACTTTTCGCTTTTCAGGTATTCGCCATTGCGGGCGTCTTGAGATTCTTCAATCTTTTGAGGGCGGGTATTTCTTGGAAAGGACCCGAAGTTATCGAGCTATGATCGTGGAATAATTCAGAGGCTTCCCTTTTGCTTCAAGTTTCGACGTCTCCCACATACGCAAGCGACACTTCGGACATCGTCTGATCATATCCGGTACACACAAGAAGCAAAAGACGAAGATATATAGATTTTTTGCTGATACTCTGTGATATATAGTTCAGTTAAGGACTCGTTTTATCTAAACACAATAATAAAATGAAAATGTAACATATAAATTCAGTCGAAAACTATCAAGGGCTTTCAAAAATACAATTTAAGCCTCTTAAATCGCCGTACATGGTTTTTTGGATGTTGTAATGCTTTTTCAAATCATAGTACAACCGAGGATATATTAGAGATTAAATAAATTAAAAACAAAGTTGTAACACCAAAACAATACATATATATTATTATTATAATAAGAGATAAATTTATTATTATTGTGTCTGTGATTGTTGTAAATAATATACGTAATCGATGATGTATTATTTTTATTTTACACATATCATGGATAATTTTATTTAAATCAAATGAAATAATTGTATATAAATGTAAATATATCGTAGGGGAATGTATAATGTGTTATTTTACATGGTTATTATAAATCAAGTATATCTTCGAAATGTTTTAATAAAATAATGAAAGAGATAAATATCTTTCAATAATAGGATTCGGCACCCGCGCAAATTTCGTTGGTCGATTTGAATTCGTTTTGCCAATTAATCTGGAGTGCCGAAATCCGTGCCAGAAACTCGAGCAGTACTGAATTGACGTGTATCGGAAATTTTGTCGTTTTTATAATAGATTTGCTCACCACGTGATAACAACGTAATACCACGTAATATTAACGTATTTAATTACAATTTGCTCCAACATCCAATATAAAATTTACATGGCATCTATTGAAGTGTGTAATTTGACTTAATTAAGTCGAGGTCGTTTGTGCCCGAGATGCTACCTCCATTACTGTTATCGTTATAGAGCAACCCAATCTTGTAGCAGAAAGAATTTAAATCGAGGTTGTTTGCGCCCGAGACATTACATCAATCCATTTTTGTATTTTTAACTGTTATGATTAAAAACCAATTTAATCTGGTAACAAAAAGAATATAAGCCAAGGTCGCTTGCGGCCGAGGCTCTACCACGATCACGCTTTATCTATCTTATACAGAATGGTCCATTTAACGATTAGACTACCGAAGACATTTTACATAAAAATGAACCAAATGAAAGTTATTCTGTGCGAGGGGGAAACCATATGACGATAACATTTTTTGATCTTGACCTTAAGTTCAAGGTCATATGAAGGTCACGACCTATTTTTTAAATTGCACCTTATGTTTTTGATTACAAAATCTGAATCTATGGATAAAAGTAAAATAATTAAAAAAAAACATCTTTTGTAGACAAAATCTAAATAATTTTTTTATTCAAATAGTTTAGTTATAAAAAAAATGATTAAACTATACTATTAATCAATAACAAGTATAAAATTTATAATAAATGTTCAAATATTTCCTCACCCACTTCAATACATTTATTAACCCTTCTCCTAAAACTTTCTTTACATCTTAAACGGTTTACTATTTCTGCATGCATGTTTTTCCGCTCTTTCATGTTTTCTGGCTTAGTCGGTACTTCGCGATAAACATTATCCTTAAGGACGCCCCACAAAAAATAAAATCAAGAGGTGCTAAATCAGGTGATTTGGCATCGCCCAGCATAATCCCGATCTAAAGCTTCACGTGCAATATGTGAAAAATGTGCTGGACACCCATCATTTTGCAGCCACATATTTTGTCTTTCTTTCCTGCTCAAATCTATAATCAAGGTTGGTAAGACGTCATCTAAAAAATTTCTGTACTTCTCCCCATTCAGTATATCATCAATAAAGTATGGACCGATCAATTTATCACCAATTATGTCACACATACAATAATTATGGTCACTGTTCCAATGAGCGACGTCATCGAACTCCCTAATCTGAAAAGGTGGTTGGTTCTGAATTCTCGTAGTCTCTGAACTAGTTCGGTGAGATTTATCACCCTGATCTTTAATATGTTAAGCTTAATATGTTGAGCTACTTCATGTTGATTTTCTTGAATAGTTCTGATGTTATCTTTAAAAATTTTAAGAGTTCCTTGTGAGAGATGGATTTGAGCCTGTAGTACTGTTGCTAATTCCTGTTGATTTGATCCTATTTCTGTTATCACTTTGTCGCACTTCTTAGCATCTTCTGCATCTAAATTACCAGATACTGCTTTTATAATTGAACCCAAGAAGTTCATTCATCTGCGATATCTGCTTGTCGGGATGAGTTGTTGTTTTCCAAAGATTAATTGTTGTAGCAGATCTTTGATATTCCTCATAAGGGTCAGGAATGCTATTTGCTCGGCACCGTTTTCTATTGTTTCTACAAATTTTATCAGTTCTCCATATTCTTTCGTTAATTTGTATCAGTAGTGGTTCGAGGTCACATTGTACCACCGTTGTGCATTGGCTGACCTGGTTTTTGGCTGTTCCCAGATGTAATGGAAATAAAGGGCCGTCTAACTTTGTTATTCGGATGTCGAGTCTTGCCCAGGAGCATCTGAAACAATACCGTGTTTAAGATGTTTCGTATTGTATGTCTGTACTCCTCTTCTAGTTTAAACTTCTACTGTGCTATTATCATTTACTTTGATAATGGTGTATGGTCCAAAGTAGAGTTTGACCATTTTATTGCTTTTTGTTATATTATCCTTTTCTCCATTGAAAACAGGGATTAAGTCTTGATCCACTTCAGATATTTCTCGAGCCATTGTGATCTCGTTGATGGCTTCCAACAAATCGTTTATGTTGTCCACAGTGATTGGAAAAGGTAAGGAAGGTGTGCAGAAAATAAAGGTACTTACAGTTGTACGAAGATTAATACGATTGCTAGCATTGATTCTTCTTTTTGACTGCGCCATTTATATTATTTAACCGTTATTTAGAGTTTTTTTATTGAAAGAACGTTTTAATTATTTACTCTCTCTGTTCAAAATTATAGTATACATTTCTCTTTACAATTTGTCTCAAATTATGGTATACAAAACTTTGGAAACTGCTTTATTGTGTTTGTAAAATTAGTAATTCAATTTGTAACTTAATTTAAACATACATTAATGAAAATTTTACACATTTAAACACAATTCAGCTGGTTCAATGTAAACGCCCTTCATGACGAAGCTTTTCTTTATTCATGAATTTTCATATTTTTCTCGATATCTATGCGTCTGAAAGCAATTTTGTTAAGAATACAATTTGCTACAACTTTCGTTCGAAAAGTTTTTCAGTAGCAGGCTCAGATTCAAATTTATTCAATTTTATAGTTGTTGCCTGCTGAGGTCATCATGGTTGACTCCATGAACTTTTGTAGTATACGTTGGCAAGAATACGTTATCTAACTTTTCTTTAGCTAATGCGTCAAAGGCACTTTTAACACAATCTATTAATTCATTCATAGTTTTTAGCGATGTTTGCTGGCGATTTTGATATTTTGAGAATTGCTGGCTTGAACCTAAGAAATGATGATATCTATGATAACATTGACTATGGATTATGTTATCTTGATTCATTATCATTAATTTTTATGGGAAACGTTTTTCTCTATCACCTTTAATTTTCTAATTATAACAGAATTTAACGCAGGTGATTGTCAATTTTGATATTTTGAGAATTCCTGGCTTGAACCTAAGAAATGGTGATATCTATGGTGGCATTGACTATGGATTATGTTATCTTGATTCATTATCATTAATTTTTATGGGAAACGTTTTTCTCTATCACCTTTAATTTTCTACTTATAACAGAATTTAACGCAGATGATTGTCAATTTTGATATTTTGAGAATTCCTGGCTTGAACCTAAGAAATGGTGATATCTATGGTGGCATTGACTATGGATTATGTTATCTTGATTCATTATCATTAATTTTTATGGGAAACGTTTTTCTCTATCACCTTTAATTTTCTACTTATAACAGAATTTAACGCAGATGATTGTCAATTTTGATATTTTGAGAATTCCTGGCTTGAACCTAAGAAATGGTGATATCTATGGTGGCACTGACTATGGATTATGTTATTTTGACTCATTATCATTAATTTTTATGGGAAACGTTTTTCTCTATCACCTTTAATTTTCTACTTATAACAGAATTTAACGCAGATGATTGTCAATTTTGATATTTTGAGAATTCCTGGCTTGAACCTAAGAAATGGTGATATCTATGGTGGCATTGACTATGGATTATGTTATCTTGATTCATTATCATTAATTTTTATGGGAAACGTTTTTCTCTATCACCTTTAATTTTCTACTTATAACAGAATTTAACGCAGATGATTGTCAATTTTGATATTTTGAGAATTCCTGGCTTGAACCTAAGAAATGGTGATATCTATGGTGGTATTGACTATGGATTATTTTATCTTGATTCATTATCATTAATTTTTATGGGAAACGTTTTTCTCTATCACTTTCAGTTTTTTAATCATAACAGAATTTAATGGTCAATTTTGATATTGTGGGATTTCCTGTCTTGTGCATAAGAAATTGAGATAAATATGGTGGTATTGCTTATGAATTATGTTATCTTGATCCATTATCATCAATGTGGAACCAATCAACTTGGATCTAATGGCTGGTACAAAGTTTTTGCATTCTGCTGCGTTAATAGACTCGATGTTTTGGGTCACTATTGTTCCTCTTACCCGGTTCTTGCTGTTTCTTTTTGCAGGTTCTTTATTTTTGTTGTTTTTACAGCTCCTTTCTGGTTCTGCTTCGACCTTTTAACTTGCGTTGAGTCGTACATATCCTCAAAACATCGATTTGATTTAACCTTCGACAAACAGAACTCTAGTTTCTTTCATTAATTAAAGTAAGATTACAGTATATTATATTAAATAGATAGAAACTCGTTAATTCTCCAAAATTTCTTTAATCCATAAATTTTACAGAATTGTATACCATAGTTTGGGACAGAGGGAGTAACTTTTATTTAAAATTACAATTTATTACATAAGACTTTATAGAGATGAGTATTTCGTGGAGTCGGAATTACAATCCTCCAATATCGAAGTATGACGCACTTTCTCCATAAATAAAAATCATTTCGATTTTTTCTGCCACACTTAGAGTATCCATGATTTAATGACTTAGTGATTAATGAATTCAGAATTTGTTGCCAAGCAGTTTTTATGTAAATTTAGTTTTACCTGTTACTTTTACCTGTTGTAATAATCGCTTGTCTCACGTTAAATGGGCCGCCCTGTATATATTATCTCTTTTTTATGAGACCATGTAAGGTGTATACTTGATTTATAACCCTGTATTAAATGAATTTGTGTGACCATCATAAAGTTTGTATCATAAACTGTTGTAAT